TTTTTTTTGTCCATTTCTAAGCAAACAAAAATAACTTAAGTGAGATAACTGTATACTGGATAAAACAGATACTGACAAAGTTTAACTTTGAGGACCCCTTCCTGTGCCCCCTTCCCTTGTTTAGTTTCAGCTGATCTCCTGACTGATCCTCATTTCAAATTTAACACCACGGGTGCTCAAGCTTTCAGCTGTGCCGCACCTTGTTTCTGAACCCATTATCGCTGCACTTTTGTCAGCTTGAGTCTTTGACAGAGTTCAAATCTCAGCTCAAAACTCATCTGTTTTCATTTTCACATCAGTGATAATCCATCCTGATTTTTATGTTGTAAGGTGACCTTGAGTGTTTTGAAAGGCACAAACAAAAATATTAATTATTATTAATAATAATAATAATTTGCAATTAAATCACAATATAATTGCAATGAGTTTTACAATACTCAGCAAATCTTAAGATGTGAAGTCAAGATCTTCAAAATCAACTGAAATTTCCAGCCCCATAAATGGACGAGCCAAATAGCTTCTGGGAAAAATTTTTTATGGTCAGACGAGACAAAGACTGACTTATTTTGGTTACAATGACAAGAGGAGTAAAGATGAGACTTTCAAACCTTCGACCACTGTACCAGCTGTCATGCATGGTGGTGGTAGCATCATGCGCTGGGGCTGTTTTGCTGCCAGTGGTGCTGCTACATTGCACAAAGTGGATGGAATAATAAAGGTGGAGAGTTTTGAATTCTTCAGCTTCACCTCAAATCAACTTTTAACAAAATATCAGGCGGAGTCTATGGATGTATTAGAGCCTGTATACTTACATATAAAATAAATAAATATGAAATAAATCTCCTTTGCAAGTATCCTTATAACTGAACCTTATTCTACCTATTCTTCTTTCTGCATTTTAATCAGTCCAGTTATTTTTCTTTTCCCAGTTAAAATATATCAATAGCATTTTTAAAGGAACTTTGAAACTTCTCACAGAAATTTTCTTTCTGCCTTAAAATGTTTGACATATTATAGGTTCACAAGTTATTCACAACCATGTGCCCAGCCATATTACCTATAGCAGTATATAAGGAAGCATCTGAAAGACATCTCCTGGACTATTCTGCCCTTCTATAATATTAAATATGACTAATATTGAAAAGTCCCTGATTTCCAGATGAGATTTTAAAGTCGAGGTCTTTTGCAGTGGATAGAATATGTTTTCACTGAGATAAGCCTTTGTGGATTCAGAAAATATATTGTACTTGTTTTTTTGTTAGTTTTTTTTTTACATTTCAGGCTGGAAAATGCAGACAGGAAGTGGTTAGTATGGTTAGTACGTTTCCAGTGGTCGAGTGTTGACAAAAACAATCCATCTCACGCTCTTCTCTCTACATCCAGCGCTGAATCATTAAAAGTATAGCTGTAGTATTTGCTCACTCAAATAAAAAGAGTAGTGTCAACCATTTGTACTGATTAATAACATGGTGATAGGACAGGATCCACAGCCTCCCGTGAAATCCTTTCATTGCGCACAGTCGAACTCATTAAAGAAAAAAAGAACTAGTGTAACGGGACCGTGATGAAATTCCGCAAAGGAGTGGCCCTTTCCTTTGCGTAAACCCCGATACGGCGTCTCCCAGACGGTGTCATTTGCAGCGTTTACACCGCTTGAACCTTAAAGAAACAGCGCTAACTGAGAATCTATATTCACAGCTCTTTATCTCGTCAGTGTAGTCGCAATAATAGAGGTTCCGTATGATGAAATGGGTTGTGCGTAAAGCCTTAAAAGTGGAGGGCGGCTCGCATTATACGGACTAAAATGATGCAAATAAAACATGTTTTAAACTCCTACAAAGACATAATCCAGCCGTCATTCCTGGCGGTGGTCGAACCGAAAGTATGGCTCATACAGACTTGAACCAGCGAAGCCAAGAGATTTTTTTTTTTTAATCTAGCCTTTAATCAGTGTTTTTCTCAGAGAGATTAGGAGGAGAATGACGCCTACTTGACAGTTGCCCATTTTCGTGGAGATGATCCGTCAGCAGCGGCTGATCTCTTGTTGAACTGGCAGCCTTTGGGTGGGTTTGGGGGATATTTGACCTCTTCTGACCAAACTGCGACTCAGCTGCACATACTGGAATGTGACGTCACCGCGGAGCACAGCGTGGCCCGGTTACGTGCGCAGTTAACGTCCACAGCCCTTCCCCCGGTTTCTGTCTGACTTAATCATGCTTACTGTAAAGATCCACTCCAGACATGTTGCGTTATATAAGAACATATTAGTAATTCTTCCGATTAAATAGTTTAATTAGCCAATATACAAATATTTTTAATAGTCGGTATGAAGATATGGTGCACAAACGAGGATTTTATTACACAGCAACCAGGAGCGTGTACTGAAGAGAGGCATAGGGCACCAACCCCCCCAATATTGATTATATGGTCATTATTTATAGTGAAGTTACTCTTCCTGCTCACTTCATGATTAGCGCCTGATCATTTACCATTATCAAAAATATTTTAAAAAATTAGTATGAATATACTTTTTTCTTTTAATGCCCCTTCAAGTTGGGGACAGTGTGCATGTTAAACACATTTATAGTACTTGGTCATATACAAATGCATAACAAACACCAATTAGGAGTGTCATTAAATCAGAAGTTAATTTTACAATTATAATGGTCTAACGTAGCCCAGAAGTCAAAGCCATCCCACCAAAGTCGAGTTAATTAATAACTCAAATCAGGAAAATGCATTGTTTTTTTTCCCCTTTTCCTCTTCCTATGTGATACCAGAATTACAACAAAAATAATGAAAATCTGTGTGGATCACAAATAAGAAATATTGTTTAGTTATATAAAAACAACATCGCATTTGAACATTTTGTACTTTTTGCAGATCCACTGTCCTATATGCATACCATACATTGATATGAATGGATACATTAGATGAGAACATTTTGAGAATCCATGTTGTCCCATATAGGAGGCAGCGAGGTGATTTAGATAATATATGGATTCCCTGTGGCCCTCCTGTACAACAATACAGACCCCCCCAGAAAAGATCGTCATGGATCAGTCCACTCCCTTTACAAGACTTTGTAGTACCGTAGATATAATAAATCACTGGGTAATGATTATTAGATCGCCATCAGTAACTCAGATACTAACCACACCTGGTGTGACTGCTTCTGATCAGTACAAATTAATCAGACTTAATAAGGCATTCTACCAGATCCCAAAGGTGCTCAATTAGATTGAGATCTGGTGACTGTGGATGTCACTTAAGTGCAGTGAACTCATTGTCATGTTCAAGAAACCAGGTGGAGATGATCTTTGTTTTGTGACATGGTTCATTATCCTACTGGAAGCAGCCATCAAAAAATGGGTGGTCATAAAGGGATGGACACAGTCATCAACAACACTCAGGAGTCAGGTGGGGTGTAGTGTTTAAAGATTCTTAATTGATACTACGGGGCCCATAGTGTTGCAAGAAAACACCCCCACATCACCCATAGCCTGAGCTGTTGATACAAGGCAGGATGGATCCATGCTGCGTACACCAAATTCTGACCCTTCTGAACAATGCAGCAGAGATCAAGACTCATTAGACCAGGCGATGTTTTTCAAATCTTCTGCTGTCTAATTCTCTTGTCTGTATGAATCATTTCCTTTGTTTCCTGTTCTTGTCTGGCCAGAACCAACCCAGAATGATTTAGGTGTGATTTAACCATTTTTAATGTCCTTGATCAAAATGAATCTCATTTAATTGAACCATTCAGAAAAAATTTCCTACATATATTTTAATGTTATTTTTAACTTATTTTCTTGTTCACACATCGTGTTTTTCCCACAAAGAAGTAAAGAGACACGAGATTAAACACTTTATTTATTTACTATAGTTATTGTACCCCTTTTCTTTAATTTAACAAGCGTTTATAATTAATAAACCAGAGTCAGAAAGATGATCTGTTAAATCGTTAAAGAATTTAGTTTCTTACAGCATAATTACCAACCTTACCAGCCTGTGCTCCAACAGTGAGTATTTTACTGTCCCTTAAAACTGTCACTGCATCATAATTACTCACCCACTGAATGATAGTGCTGCCGCTGCCCTCCATAATACACGGTTTCCAATTAAATGCCTGATATCGTCACACTTACAAAGCCATATAATCAGAGGGAATGAGTCACCTCTCTTTGATATATCATTAAATGCTGATTTCCTGAAACATCAATCAGGGAAAGTTAAACTTATTTCGGCTGATTACTCACACAGTTTAACGTGAGACACTATAATAAGCAAATTAGCAACATATTCTAAAAAATGTGAGTCATTTTCAGCGACAACAATCACTAGCCAGATTAAGTTTCATCAGTAGTGATTCTCACTGGCCTGTGTAGGATGTCGTAATGACACACATTGTAAGCTCACATGAATTTGCTGAAACCAATTAAATAACAGTTGTCCACACTGTAATTTCTCATTCATAAAAGTTTCTGCAGCTTCGGTTCTCACTTTTGCAGCTCACTTAGTAAACAAGGTCTTGTGCAATTATGCTTGTGCTGATGCAATTCAAAATTCCTCCTAACATCAGAGCTGTAGACCTGGACTAAACTTAGATTAAATATAAATAAATAAGACATATACTCACAGGATGGTTGGTGAAGTTAGGAGGGCTGAGAGAGTCCCACACAGAGTGGTCCTGCTCAACCTGACCTGTCCCTCTGATGTACACATTTCTAATGCTGGCATGTGCTCAGTGAATACCTCAGGCAGCAGAAACCCAAGAAGAGGAGCAAGAGGAAGAACCATCATGGAAGGACAGGCCCTTGCAC